GCGGCCTCCAGCTTCCAGTATCTCCCATAGCGTGGAGCAGAGTAGCCGGGTTCAACGCCCTGGGAATGCAGGGTGGGGTAGGACTCTGCAGTGTCGCTGTGCTGGCTGAGATGGTTTCTGCCACCAGCTCCATCTCTCCTGGACTCAGCTACCCCACCAGGCCTGCTTCCTGTTCCCTGGAAGCTTTCTCCCTCCCGGTGAGGAGTCCCTGATACTCCTAACCTTTTTTCACCCACCTCAATGCTACTGGGAAAAAGGTGATGGAGACGTTATTTCCCCCTCAGCTCTCAAAGAAGACACGACCCAAAGCTCAACTAGACTACGCTTAGAGTCCACAACATTTCAAGGATTTGAGGCTTTTGAAGACCTACAAGGAAATTCACTCTATGGCCTTCTGGTTTTTCTTCCCTTGTCTGTGAAAGGAACATCTCCCAGGATTGAGAGAGAGGGGGGGGGGAGAGGGAGAGGGAGAGGGAGAGGGAGAGAGAGAGAGGGGGGGGCTTCTACCCTCCCCTCACATACCACCAGAATGCCCACTAAGTGCAAGAGGTCCAATAGTAGAGTTTAAGCAAGAAACCATAGAGGAACAGTGATGAGCTTCAGACCTTCCAGACGCAAACTCACAGGCATAGTGTGTCCCTCAAGACAGCACCTGCAAGGTCTTTTAAAATGCATGTAGAGATCTCACACAATACTGTCAAGATCCCCAGACTGGGATTCAGGAAACAGTCTCTGATTTTCATTTGGAGGAAGCAGAAGAGCCTGTGCCCACATCTCACTACTACCCAGGTTCAAAGTTCTTTTTTCTCTGATGCACTCAGGAAAATTAGTTTAGGCACCAGGACACCCTGAATGTTTAGCCTCTTGAACTCGGGAAAGCTTGGATTGACACTATGGGGTCAAGAGGGTCAGCAGAGAACTGGCAGTAATGACTACCTGTTGTTCAAATTTTTCTTGGTGTAATTGGCTATGATTGTACTCAGCTCAATTCGCTCATAATTTTTACTCCGTAGCTTAAAGGAGAGTTCCTCCAACTTCTCCATCTGCTGGTCCTGCTCAGTGAAGGTGGCCAGTTGGGATGGTGCCTCCACAGTAGTCCCTGCAGGTAGATAAAGACAAGTGAACTAGAATCCTTGAATGACATAGGGCCAGGGGAGTCTATTCTGGGTACCAAGAAGAAGCCCAAGGAAGATGAATTGCTAAGGACGCAGTGAAGGTCCTAGAGAACAGGGCAGCTATTCTCACACTGGTATCCATGAGCTGACTTCAAACACCATGCTTAGTCATGTGCCTCATTTCCTGATTTAGTCCCCTGTCCAAGAAGGCATAAGCTGCCCCACTCATGAAGATTTGGTGGACAGTGTCACCTCATATCTGATGTTATGCAGGTAAGTCCTGTTGTCCCTAGAGCTTAGAAGTACCAAGTCTTGATCAAAAGTGTCCCGAAATAAGGCATCTAAATGTCTGAGGCCATGGTGCATGGCCAGGGGAGATTTCCCTCCTTCATATTAGCATCAGATTCCCATGGAAATTAGAATGAAGTACAGCAATACCTCACCAAGAGAGGGACACCACATTAGTCACTCCTTTGGTACAGATGGCCTTCCTTTCCACTCAGAATGAGATTAAGGAGCTCACAGAAAAGCGGCTGGAGGCTTGACATTCATGACTTCATCACACTAACCATCAGAAACATTTACTCTGGGCCTGCTCTGTGTTAACCCAGAGAAGCAGGAAAAGCCCATTGCTTCCCAGATACTCCTACTGGAAGGCCCAGCTCATGCTCCACCTCCTCCAGGAAGCTCCCTATCCACTGACCAGGACTCACTGTGGCTTCCCCCAAACCATTTATTTCTCCATGTTTTACACTGAGACTGAAGGTCACCTTCCTTCCTTCTGCCTCTCTCTGGGCTCCCCATGTTCTCAATTCTCTCTTCCAAGCACACAGATCAGGCATGCAAACATGTCTACGGACACTGAAAGTATACCCCGCAGTCACTAGGTGTTCCCAGAGCACTGGTGAGATCACAGGGAACACGAAAGTCACTCCACAATACAACAAAATTGTGCTGAGAGTGGACTATTAGGGTCACCAGCAGACATCGCCTACCTACTAAATAGATCTTCTGCAATTCACTAGAAACCATAGTGCTCTTCCCAGGAAGTTCCCCAGATACATAAGGGAAGACCTTCACCACCTCCTCATTACAAAGTCAGAGAACTCTATCTGCTTCATTAGAATATATTCACTACTTCATATATGAAAGCTGAAGATTCATTTTCTAAAAAAATCCCAACACCTTATAGAGATCTCTAATTACTAAGAGAAGAAATAAAGGTTTCTAGGTAAATAATTCAGGATGGAGTGAAGGAAAGTCCAGTCCCCTGAAGGCACACTGCAGAGGATCTACACGGGTGGTACAATATGCTGATGTGGTGGGGATTGTAGTTGTCCTGTGAGAACAATGTAAGTCCCATAATTGATGCAATTTATATAAAAACTTCAGCAGAATACATTTCACACATCATAAGTTATCAAATGTGTGACCAACCTGTGACAGGTCAGGCTGGAGTCACTAAACATTGGGGCTCCCAGGTGAGCATTCAACACAAGATCTAACACTCCCATGACAAATGACAGTCCATTCCTGCCCTCATGTTTGAGGAAAGATGATTGTCTATTGAGAGGTCACTCAGAGATATGCAAAGGCATTTTTAGAAAATCAAATTTGTTAGACTCATGGGGAGAGTATGTAGTATGTCACTGCCATGGTGCTTTACATAGAGCTTCACAAAAGACAAATTCCTTGATCAGGAGTCACCTGTTACATTGTCCATGTCCTTAGGAAAGGGGACACAGCCAGACTAAATTACAATATTCATTGGGTCATGATAAGTGCCGGCAAATTTCACAAAAGGAGATTCCTTGGTCTCGTACCTTTCCCAGAGACCCGCTTCACACTTTTGAATTTACTGGCAGTGCTAAAATGAAGAGTCATCACCATGCTCAGCCTGTATAACAAATTCACCAGAAGTCTGGATGTGGCTTCAAAAGTGTGCTTGGTGAACCCCAGAACAAATGAGTGATGTGGGATAAACAAAATCCATTCCAAAGTTATGTCACACTGACAACCATGTTAAACAAGGTTAGGTATCTCAGCAATACCCAGTTCTAGAAGTCAAAGGACAGCACCTACCCTACACACTGCCTCATCTCAATCAAATCTGACACACTGAAGGATGCTCAGGGAGTAATGGACAGATGAGACTTTGCCCTAGCAGGTTCTGAAAGACCAGACTTGATTCTTCCCCTCTGTGAATGTCAGTTATTTCTAAAGGGAGGTGGGTGTCTCAGAAGTTACCTGGTTTCTTATGTCTCCCTGCACCAGGTGGCCCAAGGGACAGACCCCTAGGGCTTATTCACAGCTGCAGAGGATGTGCCATGGCTTCAGAACCTCCAGCCATGTGCTTTAAGAAGCCTGGAGATAACTGCTATTGTCACATTCACTCAGGAAGTATAGGGATGGCCACATCAATTACTTGATGCTTCAGACTCTCTTGTTAATGGAGAAGTCACACAAGGACAGAACATACTCCCAGGGTTCACAAACCCATTCATACTGACAGCCTGGGACACCCAGAGCTGGCAGGAAAGGGCAGTCTCTGTCCATGTCCCCTGGCTCTAATAGCTCTCAGGCAGAACTGGAGAGCTGTGTGCCACTCATAGCTGGGAAGTCAGAAACCTTAGGGGTCAGTGGAAGACTTGGTGTCTCAGCCCTATTAGTGGCTGTGATGTAAAGTACAACCACCTCAGCCTTTGCCAAGGCACACATCTTTCCCTATAAGCATGGTCTCACAACCTATGGGACTTCAGTGGGGCAAAGTACAGTGAAGGTATTGATATCTCATTAATTCCCCATGCCTCTTCACAGTGAAAGCAGAGTGTCCCCAGCACAAGGTCATCTTGTCAATTTCTGACTCTGTCAAACTAATCATCATGAATCCTTCATGTTCGTCAACCCTTAGTAAAATAGAGAAGCAGGCTAGTTCTATTGCTTCCCAGAAGCTCCCAGTTCCTGAGCCTTAACCCTGGAAGGCTTAAGGCTGTCACATACAGACAGCTCCCTAGTCCCTTCTTTGAACTCACTGTGTCTTCCCCAGGACCATGCAATTCTCCTTGTTTTCCAGTGAGCCCTATGGCCAGATTCTTTCTTCCTCACACTGGTGTCTTCATGCTGTCTCTTCTCTCGCCCAAGTATACTTCGCAGTCTTGAAAACATGTCTGCAAGTGAACCTTATAGGCAGTGAATGAACACCTTAAAAGCAGTTGGTGTTGCTACAACAAATGACATCACAGGATTCCAAGAGATCTCCAGGATACAATAGAATTTTTAGAAGGGACTGCTGATGTCATGGGGCATAGCCTTTTTTTCTCTTTGCACATTTGGTCTCCCTGAACTGACCAGATGCTGAGGTTTTCTTTCCAGGAGTCTCTCCCATGACACCCAGGAAGCCATTCAGCACCCCCTCCTTCCAAAATTATAGATTTCTCTCTGCCTCATTAGAATCTTCTCACTACTTCAGCCATGGAGATTTTAATGCTCAATTTATAAGCCCTGTCCAAGCATAGCCCTTCCCCTCTTTAATATTTATACACAAAAATATGAGACAGAAATATATACCAAGAAATCAAGTCAGGATGATATGGAGTGGAGGTTTGAGTCCTCTCAAGTGAAAGACCAATTGAAGAAGCCTAAGGTCAAGGGAAAGTGGCCATTAGAAATTTGTAAGTGAGCCTATTATGTCAAGAGACCCACACTACTCTAGACTGTTCCCTCTACATGTCTGGTATATCAGTCAGAGATGTCTAGAATAAGAGAAGTGATAGAATGACTCTCTCTATTGAAAAGGAATTTGTAAGAATATCTTACACTGTGTGCACTAGCAAATCCAAGAATGGCTGGCTATGAATGGAAAGTACAAGAATCCAATAGTTCCTCAGTCCACAAGATCAGATGTCTCAGCTGTCTGCAGTACATGCTGAAATCACAAAGAAGTAGGCTCTAAAGGCAGTGAAGGAAGGATGTGCTAATAAGGTGGGGACAGGCACAGAAAGAGTACAACTTTCCTTCTTCCATGTCCTTTTATAGGTTTCCAACAGAAAGAGTGGTACAGATTACATCTGGATTAAAGATCTGAATGAAAGGTGTGTTTCCTATCTCTAGGGTCTATACTAAAGTAGTTATTCCTTCTTCACATTAAGCATAAATGACCCACAGGAATGCCTGATATATTTTGGGGTTTTAGTTAATCCCAGATGTAGTCCTGTTGACAACCAACCAAGTCTATCCATGAAAGTCTTAAATCATCTACTAATATTCTTAAGCAAATGTCTGCATTAGAGATTAAAAGGAAGGAATGGCAATAATCAACAGGTACATGGGAATCTCTGGTTGTAGTTCCTCTGACTCTAGCAGGAAAACCTTCCCCTCCAGAGTCACAACTTGTCGTGGAGAGCAGAGGCATCTTACTTCATGTGTTTTTCTGTTGCCTCTGTGCTGCAGAGCATCCACCAAGGGCGATATCTGTACCAGCATACATCACCGCCATAGCTGTAGTGGCCACTCAAACTCAGCCTGAGACAGTCGCATCTGAAGTCTGGGGTGCATTTTGTAAAGTGGTTTCAAAATGAATATTCATTTCTAGCAGATGCCAGAACTAATACCTCATCATAGATTAGTAAAAGAAGCTATACACTTTGTGAAAGATTTGCTTTGTGAAATAGAAAAAGAGCAGGTTGACAGGCTTTGGACCCTCAGGACAGTTGGATCCTCATTTGGCCTCCAGAGGGCGCTGCTGCACTTACCAGCGTTCTTACTTCCATTGAAAATCTTACCACCTACTCACATCTCATCTTTCTTGCAACTGGCTGAGTTTTTAGCAAGGGTGTGTTACAAGAATCAGATATTCAAAACCTTCCAGGCTCGTCTTAGCAGCGTCACTATTTTTCCCAAGCAGACCCCTCCTCTCGCCTATTTTCAAGTTCTTGCTTTCTTCAGCCGCTCTCTTGTCTGTCCTGTTCCAGAGACTTCTCCCACAACAGAGCTGCAGACTTCTTGGTGTTCAGCCATGCTCCTGATGCTCCTCCCAGTGCTGGGGCTGCACATTTTCCTGAGTGAGTATAGCGTCCTCATGGCCTCCATATCCTGGGATTGCGACTGTCTTCAGGGAAATCTGTACTTCAGTTACTGACAAAGATTCCTTTGCAGGAGACTCAAGAGCACAGTCAGTGACTCAGCCTCAAGCTCGCATCACAATCACTGAAGAAGCCTCTCTGCAGCTGAGATGCAACTATTCCTCCAGTGTAGTGCCCTACCTGTTCTGGTATGTCCAGTACCCACGGCAGGGGCTCCAGCTGCTCCTCAAGTATTATTCAGGAGAACCCGTGGTTCATGGCTTGAGCGGCTTTGAGGCTGAGGTTAGCAAGAGTGACTCTTCCTTCCACCTGAAGAAAGCATCTGTGCACCTGAGCGATTCGGCTGTGTATTTCTGTGCTCTGAGTGCACAGTGTCTGGGTCTGCAGGGAGAGCTGAACATAAACACCCATGGCAGTGAAGTGCTCAACTAAAGGTCTCTTCTTGGGTCATTAAAGGATCTCTTTCAGCTGCCTTTGGACAACTCTGTTCTTGCAACAATATCCACTGTCTGATTTTGTCTCAGAAGCTCTTTGCTTATTTCTGAAATTATGTGATGCTCAATCATAGTTCCACAGAGTGGAGGAGACTGCTATTATCTGTGAGAATCATTTCCAGGGTGAACATTGCTTAGACTACAACCACATTGACTGATTGTGTGCAGGGAAGCTGTCTTCCATTTGTTGTTTTATGTGTTGTCTGCACAGAATTGAAAGTGTACTCTTCAGGCATTGGTCTGAGCTTTGCCTTCGCTACTGAGTCCTTCATACTGACTTTCATGTAATTCTTCTTTGGGTGTCAAATGTACTGATCAGAATTGGTCATAATTTTTAATTATTTCCATCTAGGAAAGAAATTGATACATTGTTAGTCAATATAGCAATCCACCAGAATCCTGGAAGCTTAGAAATCTGAAATATTTGTGTAAGTTATAGCAACCACTAAAATTAAAACAGGAGAAGAAGGAATTGGAAATTGTTGATGTTTTTTTAAAGAAATCTCCACAGTTATAAAAATACTGCTTTACTTTTGGTCACACATTTTTACAAATCAACTTGAGCATTTGTGGTATGATTTCTTCAGCATCTTATATTTCTAAATGTTGTTTTCACCCTAGTTCATATGATTTTACTACTGGAACATCAAAGATAAATTCTTTTATCCTAACATAGCAGTGCCCTAGTGAAAACACAGGCAAGAGTTGTAGTTGACATTAGGGCAACCTGGCTCCATTATGGAATTTTAATTCCTCCTCCCTGAATTTGGGAGAGTTGTAGAAGATTTTATGCTTCTGTTCTTACAGCCTAGGAGGATGAAAATACTCAGGATAAAAGGAGAAGAGAGAATTTTTCTAGCTGATGCTTGCTGAAACACAGGAAATGGGCAGGTGACATGGAGCCATGAGCACCTGAGTATGATTTTCACATAAAAGGCTGTGTGTGGTGGCTGTGCTGGGGTGTGAGCACAGACAGATCCCTAGAGCCCACTACTCAGCCAGCCTAGGCAGACCATGGATCCATTTATCAGAGAGTGCTTGTATCCAATAAATAAGTTGGACAGATCCCTAATAATGACATCCAAGGTTGACCTCTGCCCTCCACATTCATGGACACACATTTTCAGTCAAACACACATATGTGCTCGAGCACGCATGAGCACACCACACACACACACACACACACACACACACACACACACACACACACACACACACACCGCACATACCGAACAACCTCCAAGATTTTCTCTGGTCTCTACATGTACACATACCCATGCACATACACACACACACATGCGCTTGTCATGCTCCCACAATGTGGCACTGTTGGTTTTATTTGGTGGGAAGAAATGTCTAGGTTTTGCTTTGTCTCCTATTTTGCATGATTTCATTAGATTTCTTTCATTCATAAGTAAAATATATATATTTATTCATTTATATATATTTACTCATTTATTATATTCATTGCAAACATGCACACTTTAGTACATTTCCATATGATCTCTTAGAGGAAGCTGAGTTGTGGCTGTCTCCCCCATATTTCTTCCCTTATCCTCTCTTCCCCCCTCCTTTCAGTCTAATCCAACTGTTCCACCTCCAACTTTGTCTCTTTTACTGTCTGTTCTCTTCCTATCCCCCTATTCAGGATGTCTTCTCTCTCCCACAATCTCCTGCTCTATTCCTAATTTCAGAAGAAATGCATATTGTGGCAAGCCTATTGAAGGATTAAGACCTTATATAAGAGGATACATACTATATTTGTCTTTGGGGGTCTTTGTTACCACACTCACCATTCTTCTCCATAGATCCATCCATTTACCTGCAAGTTTCATGACTTCATAGCTGAATAATATTTCATTGCATAAATGTACCACATTTTTAATATCAGTCCATCTCTGGATGGGCATCAAGGCTGTTTACAATATCTGGCTATCATGAATAGAACTGCAGTGAAAAATTGATGAGCAATGGTCTCTGTAGTAGGGTGTAGAGCCCTATGAGTATAAGCCAAAAAAATTGGAATACTTAATATTGAAGTAGATCTATTCCCATCTTCCAGAAGAGCCATAACACTTATTACCATGTTGCTATAAAGTTTGCACTCTCTGCTGCAATGAATGAGTGTCCCCTAATACTGTAAACTCTCCAGCATAAGATGCCATTTGTTTTATTGATTGTGGCCATTCTGACAGGTGTAAGATGAAATCTCATAGCAGTTTTAAATTTCATTTTCTTATGACATCTGTTGTTTCTCAGCCACTTGTCTTTCATCTTTCAATAACTCTCTGTTTAGATCTGTTCCCACTTTTAATTGAGTCATTTATTTTCTTCATGTTTAGGCTGTAGCATGCATTCTAATAGGTCTTAATAATGAAAACCCGGAGTCAGATATCAGGTAAATGCTGAAAGGACAGAGACATAAAGGAGGCAGCCACAAGAGAGACTTCTTACCTCTACTGAATCATCAGAACAAAGGAAGGATCCTGTCCCTCCCACCTTATATTAATTACTCTCTCTACCCGGCCATATCACTCCTGTCTCCATCCCCTAGTGCTGAGATTAAAGGCCTGTGACTCCCAAGTACTGGTATGAAAGGTGTGAGCCACCACTGCCTGGCTCTGTTTATCTTTTAGACCAGACCAATCCCGTGTAGACCAGGGTGCCCTTGAACTGACAGAGATCCTCCTGTCTCTGCATCCTGAGTGCTGGGATTTAAGGTGTGTGCCACCACTGCCTGGCCTCTATAGCTAACTAATGTAGTTGCTGGGATTTAAGGTGTTTGTCACCACTACCTGTCCTCTATGGCTAACTTTTGGCTAGTTTTGCAGCTTATCTTCAGGAAAGCTTTATTTGTTAAAGCATAAACAAAATATCACCACTTTAGTCATTTTAGTCTTTTATATATTTTAGATATTAGCCTGTCTCAGATGTATAGTTGATAATGATGTTTTTCCTTTCTGTAACCCTCCACTTTGTGATGGTGTCCTTTGCCCATACGTAAGCTTTTCAGTTTTTATGATGTTCCAATTACTGATTGTTGTTTCCTGTGACTGTGCTATTGGTGTCCTGTTCAGAAAATCTTTTCCTATGCCAATGAGTTCAAGACTATCCCAAGTTTCTCTTTTATTAAATTCAGAGTATCTTGAGGTATGTTGAGGTCCATTTGGATTGAGTTTTGTACAAGGTGATAAAATTATTCTATTTGTATTGTTAGCAAGTAGCCATCCAGTTGAACTAGCACTATATGTTGAAGATGCTGTCTTTTTTCTGGTATGTATTTCTGGCTTCTTAATCAAATGAGATATTTATAGGCATGTTACGATAAATCTTTCCACCAAAAGCCGCCTGAGCCCCACCGCCACGTGTGAACTTTATGCCAGCCGCCCGCCTGGGTTAGGCCCAAATGAATACACAGAAACTTGTATTAGGTACAATGTTGCTTGGCCATTGACTAGGATTCTCATTTGCTAGCTCAGTCTTAATTATCATAAATCTATATATTTTATAAGACTTATTTGGCTCCATATTGGTAATTTCCCACTATATAGGCATGTGGACTTACGTTTGGGGCTTCAATTATTTTCCATTGATCAACATGTCTGTTTGTTCTGCTAATGCCATGATGCTTTTCAGACTACAATTATATAGTACTACTTGAAATATAGGTGATTATATACCAATGAGTTATTTTATTATTCCTGGTTGTTTGAGCTACCCTGAGGGTTTTTTCTTCCATATGAAGCAGAGAAATTGCTTCCTTTTTTCTATTTTTGTGAAAATTATGTTGGTATTTTGACAGAGATTGCATTGAATCTGTCAATTACTTTTTGTAGGATGGCTTATTTGCCTGAATTATTTCTACAAATCCATGAGCATGTTCTATATTATCAATGTCTTCTGCTTCTTTTTTCTTTGTTTTAAAATTGTACTATACAAGTTGTTTTTGCATGGTTAGAGCTTATGCCAGATAGTTTATTATTTTTCAGGCTATGGTGATAGATGTTGTTTCCCTGATTTCTTTCTGATATTTTTAGATTGAATTTTTTCCTGAGTTATCAATTATTTTTTCCTTGTCTGCAATGTCTTCTGTGTTATCTTCTCTGTTGGTAAAGCTTACATTTGATACTTTGGTGTGACTTTCTAAAATTTTAATTTCCTGTTTTATCTCAGGCTGTGTTTTCTTTAGTAATTCTGTTTCTACTTGCATGCCTTGAAGCATTTTTCTTTCATTTTTCCCACTGTTGGTTGATTTTTTTCACTGACTTGTTAAGAGATTTATTCATATCTTATTTAGGATATTTGGTCAAATTCATAATATCTATTTTGATCTCCTTGTTTAGTAATTTGGCTTTACTGTATTACAGGATCTGTTGTAATGAAAGTTATTAAGTTCTGGTAGAGACATACTTTCTTGGTTATTAATGATTGTGTTTCTGTGCAAGTATCTGAAATTTGGATGGTTGTGATTGTCTGTACTGTCTTTGTTCAGTGGGTGTTTTCTTCTTTGATTTCTGTTGAACTGTCTGGATCTTAGTGAAGTATGGTTGTTATTGCCTGGTAGGAAGTTCTTCTGTGGGCCAATATGTGGTAGAAAGGAATAGATGTGGGTTAGAATAAAAGACTGACAAGACACATGGGGGTGGGCCTAGACCCTATCCCAAAGGATATGATAGACTCTGATGACCCCAAAGGAAGGCCTCACCCTCCCTGGGGAGCAGAAAAGATATATGATAGGTATGGTTTTTGTTGGGTGGGTGGTAGGGGAGGAGGGGTGGGAGTGGGAACTGGGATTGACATGTAAAACAATCTTGTTTCTAATTCAAATAAAAAAAGATGGAGAAAAAAATAATAAAATGCTGAGAGAGGCTTGAGTAACAAGATAAGGGGATCCTGATCAGACCTAGAGTTGGAAACTATACGGAAATCAGATGTGGTGTGAGGAGGGTATCCTGAAGTAGATGACAATAAGGCAATGAATTATGTGAAGAGATGGAGATGGAAGGGCTAAGGTTCCTGGGTTTGAACAAAGATTTGCCGTGTCCAGTGAATGAAGTTGAGGAAGGGACCTGTAAGCAGGCTGAGAATGAAAATTTTGGAGAGATTATAATGGAGGATAGTATGAACAACCTGCTAGAGTTCCTGCCAGTGTGGTCACTGTACATGGAAATTGTTTTTGTTTATTGGAGAGTAACATGAGGAAAGGGGTGGACTAGAGGGGATGCTGAGAGGGCTGCAACAAACAGTGGGGTAAAATGAAGAAATCAATTCAAGACATGCAAGTAGAAATAAAATTACAGAAGAAAACAACCTAAGATAAAACTGGAAATTAAAAATTTAAGAAGTCAAATTAAATAAGAGTATCTATGGGTCCTATGCAAGGTTTGGTGGAATCCCTGGGGAATGGAAACAAAGAGCAAGGACAGATCCCTGCAGGTAGCCTGCTATATGTTTGGGGATGGAACTGGGGAAATGGCAATGTCGGGCAGGCAGGAGAGTGAAGATGAACTACCTGCTTCCCAGGAATCTATGGCATTGACTCAAAGGAAAGGGGTGAGGGAGGAAAGGAAATGCAGCAGATATGGCTGAGTCCTCAGTGAAAGGAGAAAGAGGGGGAGGACAGGCAAGTGGTCTGTCACAGGGCTAGGGACAGTACCAGGGGAACTGGAATGGAGGACAGAAAGAACAGTGACGGTGAACTATGTGGTTTCTAGTCTGTGAGAACACTGGTTTCCCAGATAGACAGTGTTTGTAGGTGTTTACAGTTGGAAAAGGGAAAGGAAATGGGCTAGAAAGTGGGGAATAGGTTTTGGGAGGGTCCACAGGGTAAAAATAGATTATTGCAAGGTTTCTCAGATTCTCTAGGAACTCTACCACTGCTATTCTATCAGAAACTAAGTCTACCAATCAATGGATACTGTCAGAGTAAACCAAATGGATGTTGGCATCCTCAATACCAAATTCCTGAGGATTTTCCTAAGAGCAGTTCCTATGTGTGTTTTTGATTCCAGGCCAACATCTCTAGTAATGTGGTGCATGCATAAAAACATCAACACGTTGACAACAAGAACTCACTGAAATGAAAAGAACAGTGATTGCTTTCTACTGAAAGCCCATGAGAGACCAGACAAAGCATTGTCCATAGCTCTCATGGACAAATATTGGC